ACTATCGTGGTGCAATTTGAAACTTCTTGGTATTATATATTCTTGGTTATGTCAACCTTTTTAAACCATAAATAATTGGATAACTGTTTCATTCTAGAGTAAAAGACAGTTACTCACTTTTGACAATTGAAAATGGTTGTAAATGAACGTTAATTGATTGAACTTAGAAATATAGATTACTGGATGTTAACTTAATATTTAAAAGACTAAGCGTTATTCACATGGCCTCTAAACTTTCGGTTCGATCTTTATTGAAATTATAAATTCTTGCTGACGACTAGTCCCATAATAGGATGAAATAGCTGTACAGTTTTATTTTAATTATCAATGATTTTTTATCTAAGGTAAGTTCATAATAAACATCTTATAATTTTAAATTTCACGACAAATTTATTCATGAACTATTATCAGTTGGAGAAACGTTGAGAGCAACAAAACTTTGAACAGCTGTATCAACCTATTTGAGGACTTCTTAGTAAATAAAGCCAATGGGATTTAAATTAATATTCTCATATATCGCACTAAGCATGTTACATTCATATCACTATGTAAGAACTCAAGAGTGTACATTTGTAACTTTAGTGAATTAAAAACTAAGCGCTACGATAATCGAATGTTGTCGATAAGCGACTATCTCATTTCTAATACGATTGACAACATAAATCCCTTCTGAAAATTTAGAAAACTTGATAAGCTGACATAAATTTATCCAGTTAAATAATTCAATTGTGAATCAAACTATTCAGTATATTGATAAAATCATTTTCATTGAAAATTTAAGAATAATAAATATAAAAACCGTATAACAAGTTGAGTAGTTTTCTACTCACAATCTAAATTGTAATAACTTTTATTATATAATTGTAGTAAGTATTACTAATGTCGACAAATGTAATTAGTATGTATCCCCAATCAACAGTGGGATATCTGGCGGCAGAAAGTTAAAAAGATCGAAGAGAAGAGAACGAGAACAGAGAGTGATTAATATGGAAATGAAGGAACAATCAAGTTTGAGACAATTGATTGACATTTTGCAAATGAAGCATTTACTGTATGCTTCTCAGATTTTAGTAACTGATTGTGTTATTTAGAGCATAAGGTCATTTGGTTATCCCCACTGATGTTCTCGTTCACTACAAACTGACGTGTTTTATTAATAATTAACATAAAGAATAGAAGGTTGTTAATGTCAATTTAAATGCCAATTTATTGACTTCGAGCAATTGTTCATAATAATAATAATAATAATAATAATAATCCTACAACAGTATTGACTTAAATAGAGAAATTACGTTCTGGAAATAATTTGAGAATCAATGCCAACTTACAGGGATTATTAGATTGATACAGAAAACATTAGGTGTAAAGAACATCCTGTTAAAGTATGAACAATGTATCTTGGACCCTTCTTAGCACTACTACCATGCAATTGTAGTCCTCTGCAATTAGAGGTAAAAAACAGAGAACTGAGCAACAACAACGAAAATTCTTGTGATAGATTCGCTGTTAGTCATGTGCTAGGTCACTTGATATACTATTGAGTTAGATCAATATTATCTAAATTAATCTAAATAACCAGGGATAGTGCAAATACGTAATACATATATTCAGATAAGATTAGTGAGTATACTCAGTGGAAACAATGATCAGACATTTAATGTCCCTATAATTTTATTGGTGGTATGGGATGTAATCGTTGGTTTTAGTATTGTCAAGGCAATTTCAGAAGAGAAAAACATCATTATTACAGAGAACAAATGATGATGATGGCAAGGTTGTAGAGTTTTAATTAGTAATAGTAGGATAAATCCTGACGTACTTTGGGAATTCGTATTTCACATCATTATGAAAAATGATTTGAGCACAATCTATACGTCTGGTTAAACTATTCAGTACTCGGCCTGCATATATTTGGCCTGTAATGACTTTTAGTGAAATATACGAAACTGGAAAATGATAATATATTTTATTAGATTATTAGTGATGATATATAGCTTTATGCTCTGTTTGAGGGTACCTATCACCAAAGCTGATGCCAGTCAGAAAATTTCTGAAAATACTGAAAGATTATTTCATCCTGTTTTAGGGCTCTTCATCAGTACACATTTATGATACACTCCTAACCATCTCGGGGATAAAAATATACGACACCATACATTGAATAAAATGACCAACCGAAATTTTAATTTTCTTACTAAATCAAAGATGGATGGTGGCTAGCCATGGAATTCAGGGTGTGCGTCTCGTCCTGTTTGGGACTCTCCAGCTGGATGTACTTTCATCTCAAAGTTTATGTTCACTCCGGGACTCAAACCCAGTACCGTTCACTTCAGACGCTATCACGTTATCCACCTAGCTACTGAGTCCTAGAGTAAAAATCAACATTAACACCGTTGGATGCTGGTTCGCGCGCTAGACCGAAGGTCTTGGTTTCGAATCTCGCAAGGCAGGATTATAAATACGCACTACTAAGGAGTTCCACAATAGAACGAAACAGCCTTCCAGTGCTTCCAGGTTTTTAATGATTGTCTAACATCAATCGGTTCGTGATTTCAATAGAAAACAATGAACCTGGATTTCATTTATTTAATAAAAACATAACATAAATATTTACAGCAGGACTGCTACTGTCTTCTGTTTTTTTTAAAAGGCATAATTAATTACGTTTCAAACCAATGTATTACACAACCTTCCGTTCACAATTCATAAAGTTAAGGTAGATAAACAGATAATAGTCCAATTCAGCAATATTTCATTCTACAGTGAGATGTCATAAAATATATTGTTTACACTTTTGTCTATCCTGTCTCAACGTCTGGAAATAATAGTCAATGGGGAAACTATTATAATGACATTTGTAAAACATATTCAATCTAAGTAAGCCGATGATTTGAAATTGGCGCCTAAATAAATAGTACTATTCAAGTGAGTTATTACCATGTTAAACATAAAGTCATTAATCCGTGAACTTTTATTTTGAACGAGGATATCTCTTACTCCAATTGGATTTGTAAATCATATTGAATTTTGTTGTATAGAACTTTTGAAGTAGAAAATAATAATAATAGTGAAGTTGATTTAAAACATTCAAAAAAAATTGTTTAAAATGACCATATTTGACATTTATTGTATTAACCATATAGCGTCAAGTTTAAGTATTGATAAGATGTAATTATATACAAATATTGATATCAATATAAGTAATATAGCAAACATTCTTAGAAAATTCTGGCATATACTCACTTATATGGGTAATAACAAACAGTTGAAGAAGAAGAAGAAGAGGAAAAAGACGATTGTAGATTTTTTTCCAACTGAAATACAATTCATTAATTGGATAATTAAACAAAATGAAATACAGAATTTTTACTTTAACTTAAAAGATTCTTGAATGAAAATGACATGATATGACGAATTATCCTTTTAATAAAAAGAAAGGTAAATGAAAAGTGTATTTAATATGAAATTTACTAAACGTTTCTTCTCTTTTTCATAGCTAAGAAGATTTTCGTTTATAAGAATAGGGGTGGATAACATATCGGTGTTTGAAATGAAAAGTATAGAATTTAAATCCAAGTGTAAAAATCAATATTAGAATGAAAGCATATCCATTTGCCAGATAGTAAATGGAATAAAGTACTCATTCTAAGGTCTACCTTTGATTCAAAACATGACGTTTATATTTTAGACATCAATTTGCAGATATGAAAAACATCAAATGGCGAGTAATGAATGTAACCATATTTTGATTTATACATAATTATTATACTTTTCAAATGTAAATTGTAATGATAGAATGTCACATAAACAAGCGAATCAGTATCAATATGACATAAAAATACTATTTAATCTTCCAAATTAAATTACATAAACTGTACTATTCATTTATCACTATAATAACACCTATAATTAATAATTTAATAGTTGAATTCATGAGTTAATTGAAGCTACACTACTATGAAAAACTTAAAGGCACTGAACGGCTGTTTTGTTCTAGTATAGGACTACTCAACAGTGCGCATCTTCAATCCCGCCTTGCAGGATTTAGTATTTCAAAGACATTAATAGGATTACTTTTATATTTTTCTTTTATTTTTCAGTATGAGAATTTATACAGATTGTAATATTTTCATAGTTTGAATTCACAAGTCAATCTTTTTTCTTCTTGATTAATTACCATGAATAGTTTTATTTTTTTTTAATTTTTCACTTAGAAACAAAAAAATGAAAAAGAATAAATGATTGAGTAATAAGTTATTTTTTTGTTGTTGTTGATTACTTTTAAATAATACATTTCTGATTGTTCATTTATTTGTTCAAAAAGAAAAACAAACGAACAATACATATATAGATATATGTATATGTATATATAAACTGCATGCATAAGTATATATATATATAAATAAATATATATGATTATGTAATACAAAAACCCAATGGCGTTTTCTTTAAAAATGTTCAATGTTCAATACATAAAAATTTGGCGGAACATTTTTTTTTGAAAAATCTTCATCAACTACAAATAATAATCAATTATGAAGTTTTATTATTTAAATTATATTTATGTATATGAGGTAGAGAATACCGTTTATAAGAGAAGTTTTATCAATAATAATAATAATAATAATAATAATGGTAACAATAATTGTGACAAGAACTGAAACTTATGAATAGAGAAGAATTAAAAGTGACATATAATAATAGTAATAAAAAAGGAAAAGAAGATTATTAAATTACATTCACTTGTGTAGATAAAAAAGTTTTTGTTCTTTTTTCATTTTTTTTTTTGAAAAATGCTCCACATACATCGTTTTAATTAAACGACAATAATAAGAATAACAACCATGACAACAACTAAATTATCGATTTTCAATTAGTTATAGGAATGAATATTGAAATAGTAAACAACTACATAAGAAAACAAATGGAACAAATAGAAATGTGTTAAATTCTTGAAATTAAAACAGAAAAAAAGTTTTTTTAAAATTTTTAAAATTAAATTATGAACATGAACATGAACAACGATCACTAATTAAATATTTTTGTACTTGCCAATAACAATGATATCCATTAGCTGTTACACTGAGACGTTTAATTAGACGTCTAGCACGACGTCGACGTTTTTCATCTTTTGAATTTGTATCTAAGTGTAAAGATGATGATGAAGATGATACCGAGGATGAAGATGATGATGATAATGTTGATGGTTCAGATGATTTTATATTTGTCCATGATGTCTTAGTATCATAATGTGAATTACCAAGATTACGTGCTTGTAATTTACGATATGAATTAATATGTTGTAATGAATTATCTTTCAAACTTAAACGTGCATATGTGTCACGTTTATGTTTTGATTTAATAATATCTGTAACAGGTTCCATTTCATAAAAACCTGAATGAAATGTATTCATTGATACACGACGACGTATACGTTGATCAGCAGCATGTTCTCTAGTTTGCACTTGTGCAGCATCTTCACATTTCCAATGTAATAATTGTAATGCACGTGAACCAGATGGTCGACATTTCATACCAGATGGCCATGAACATGAATGTCCAGGACGATTTAAACATACACCTCTACGTATCCAACGTGGCCAAAATAATGGTCCTAAATCTTCCCATATAAAATCCATTTCACATGTAGCACGTTCAATTAACCAATAACGATATGGTTGAATTTGTTCATCAGTTAATGTAAAATATACACCATATGAATTACGAAATGTAAAATTCAATTCTCTTATCTCTTTTAATAATTTAGCATCAAGTGATGTATAACTTTCTTGATTATTTGTATTAAATGAACCAGATATTCCACGTTGTCTTAATACTCTTGGTGGTGTTTCAGATGTCCATTCTTTATCTAAACTACCAGATAAAATTTTACGTAATTTTTTTGTTTTATGTGGTGATACATCTGGATGTAAATGATTAACAACACTTGGATCAATTGGTTGACCCATAATACGCATATTAATTTTACTATATTCTTCTGATGCTAATGATTTTGGCCAATCAGTTATTGGTTGATTATTTTTATATCGTTTTATATCATCCATTGAAGAAATTAATGAATTAGTTAAAACTGGTGAATTATGCTTTATTATATTTAATGGAGAATTTGTTGTATGTGATAATGTATCAAGACTAATACGATTTTGTACTGATGATACTAAACCTAAACCACCAACTTGATTGGTTAATTTAAAATTACGTTCAACGGGATTCGATATGTTATATAAGAAATTTGTTGATGTTGGCAATGGTGAATGTGATTTATTTTTAGGTGATGATTTTGACATTGTTTGTATGTTATTATTATTATTATAACTAGGATCATCATTAACAGTATTATCCGATTGCACATTTGATGTATGCAAACTAAATGATTTATCTGTATACTTTGATTTCATATCAGTGATAGCAATTACTTGTGTAATGAAATAATTTTGTCCAATGAATGGTGTATTACAATAGAGTAAAACAAATAATAAGGTATATAATTGAAACATTTTCATTTTGTTATCTTCAATAAATACTTTATTTAGTAATATATGTTATTACTCCAATGAATTCAATAAGATATTATCCAAGAATGGACTGGTTCTTGTTTTTTTTTATTATTTATTTTAATTTGTCCATATCAAAAGTTTTCTTTCTGAATCAAGAGAAAACAAAAATTCTGATAGAATGTCACAAAAATGAAATGTATGGAAGGTAAATGTAATTGATCACGGCAATGTGTTCAATTCTCATGTGTATGATTTCGATAAAAAGAGAACAGCCGATGATTAGTTAAATATATATGTATATTGTTTTAGGAATATCTCCTAATTGAACACTTATATAAAATTATATTGAATGAATAGAATATCCTGATTATGTTTATATATGTATATATTTTTCTCTTTATCGAATAGTTTATCACCTTTCTTTTTCTCTTATTATGTGATAATTAAAACAAGCAGAAAATGTATTTCCTTTCAAGCATCTATTTAAATTATCAAATAGATTTTTCTGGTCAATTTTAAAACATTACAGAATGATAAAAACAGTGTGCATGTGTGTGTGTGTGTGTGCAAAACGAAGTAAACTTCATATTAACCTGATTGTCATTACTACTACTACTACTACTATTACTACTACTACCACCACCACCACCACCACCACTACCGTCACCACTATCTTTAACCACACAAATTTAATGGTTTAGTAGGAAGGTGAAAAATGGCTACTTTTACAAATATTATTAACATTTTGATTGGTCAGAATTGGAAATAAACTACATATATATTAACCAATCACTTTTAAGACGACCAATGAATATCATATATATATATATATCTTTCTCTTTAGTGTGTTTCTCTTTATTTCGTATGTTTATGAAATGTTTGTCAGTTAATGTGCATAGATAAAAAAAAAGTCAAAATTGAAAATAAAGATAATAAATTACTCTTGTTAAAATAGAACGAATTTAAAAGATAAAGTTTTATCCGAATGTAATAAGAGTAGTATAGATTCAATTAGCAAAATAGAATGAAGGTCAATAGGATTGAAAAAAAATCGTTGTGATTTAGATTATGCATATTCATAAAGTTTCATCGGTTGATGAAGTTAGTCTGTATATTTATTTTCGAAATAGTCATAACCACATTGTAATTGAACGACTGACAAATGTTTTAGTTAAAGAGAACAAGACAAACTCCAATGCCAAAAGGTTTTTAAAAAAAGATTTATCATATGTATATGTTAAACTTATTCGTCGATAAATTAAATTATCATCTCGATAGTTCCTTTTTTCACATCTTATCAATTGATAAGCAAATATGGATGGTGGCTGGCAGTGGGATCTAGGACGCGTGTTTCGTCCTCTTTGGAACTCGTCAACTGGATGTATATGACAAGACAATATCGAGACAATCTGAATAGGATGCATATATGGTAATAAGAGATTGATCAATTTCAGTCGTAAACATCAATGGGAAGTTTTAAGCAAACAATACAAAATGAATGATAAATGAATACTCACAATGAATCTTCAATATAAAAAGAAAGGTAAATCGGACTCAAGACAGTGGCTTTTAGTTTTTAACGTAAAATTAAAAAACAACTGTTACCAGCTTACATCAGTGAGGTTGTTAGATCCTATTGGTATGTAAACAACAATTTCTGTTAATTTATTGGTTGAATGAAGTGTACTAAATATTTTTATCGGAATTTTTTCGGTTCAGATTGTCATCTTTATGAAGAGTAACATCAATGAACTGGGTTAGGTTCTTGTTAGAACAAAAATTCTTGTAATCTCCTCCAATAAACCATAAAATAATGTGCTCAATTTACGGAAATACACTACCAACATGAAAATTATTACACAACACAACTATTTCATAATATCATTGAAACAATTGTAGCAACATCACGAATTAAACAGCAAAGAAACAGAGAGTGAACAATACTACTTATTATAGATTACAAAGATGAGAGACAAAAACGGTAATTTCCATTATTAATGCATGAATCTGATTGATCGCTAAGATTTACAGGGGGATATTTCTTACAATTTGATGATAGGTAATCTTAGTAGTTAATAATCACCTTCTTAAGAACTTTGAGGAAAGTGGTTTTATTTAGTGCTCGCTTTGTTGAGGGTTATTGTAAGAGTCTTTTATGTGATCCTACACGGATTATGAAGTCAAAATTACACAGAATACTGACTCTTTATGGTATCCATTCAATTAGAAGCATATTTTCTCATGAATTTGTTCCTTTTTCCTTTGTGTGAAAATTAAACTCACTTCTAAATTATGTAATCATTGATAGATTGAATAACAATCCTTTTTGTGTGATATGACTGATTAAAAATAACTAAACATTTTCATTTTTATGACTCTCGGATATTGACTTCACAAAAGCCTTTCATCGGCATTACGACGATTTTTCATACAGAGATTGAGGAAATAATGAGAGATTATTTACAAGAGTTTGAATGATATGAAATTCACTAATAAAATGAGTTTTCGTGGAATGAATCAGTCATAGTTACGGAAATTAGGTTTGGCTTAAGGTAGAGAAAACTGATCATGAACCTTTGGAAATTTTCTTCACTCACTTAAAATCATGACGACTATTTAGCTTCCATTATTTTTACGGTGATAGATTGATTCAGTTTCGGTATTTTGTTAATAGGTGATGTCAAAGTCAGTATCACTCAAGGTCTTTGCTGTCATACGGGTTCACTAGACTGGTTTAAGAATTATTTGGGGAACTATTGTGGATCGAATAGCACTGAAAAACTATTTCATCCTAGATTGACTCCTCTTAACAGTGTTTAATCATAACATCTTTTGATATCAAACCTTAGACATAGATGTTTTGTAGCAAAAACGGCATTTTCAGGAAGCTATATTTTCCATTAGTTTTTTGGCGGTAAAATCTCTAAGATATCAAATAAATAAATAACGTAAGTTATTATCCCAATTTAATGGACTTCAAGATACACAGAAGATCTTAAAAATAACCCAAATATAAATTTCGAAATAAGGATCTGTGGGTTTAGGTTTCAATCATCAGCGGGATTAGGGGTGGATACTGCGTGAAAGCCCTATGCTAGGAAGAAACTTCTGTTCACTGTTCTCTGGGTTTCGAATGTAATCTAACTAAGTTTAGTCCCTAGTGTAAGCTATCAAATTACTATTCACTTAGATATTTTGAAAAGATTTACAAAGTACGCCGACAATTTACGTTATGAATTGATTGGCAATTATTAAAGAGACACAAGAAAACACAAAATGTCTTTAACCACTTGCATCATTGTGATTTTGGACATTTGTTACTCACAATAGAACTTCATACATAATTAACAGAAAACCAACTACTTGTAGGTAGTATATAATAACTTTTTTTATTCAGTTTGGCTGTAATAATCATCCACAGATTAGAAATTTACCATGACCTTGCATTCATTATTTTAACATTGATTCTGTTGTATATTAATTCTTACCCAACTCATCACCTCACTGCAACATTTAATTGTTTCAATGAAATTAACACACATAAACATTTATTATTTATTTCTTTCTTTATCAACTTGATAATTGTATCGATCTTTCAAAAAAACCACAATATTTTCTTTTTTCTTTTTGATTTTCAAGTTATGAAAAACATTTCACCTTTATATATTCAATGTTATGTCAATTAAACTAATGATATTTATTGTTGGTCTAGTTTATACAGTAACTAACATCAATTAAGATAATCAACTCTTTTTTTTGTTGTTGTTGTTGGCCGATTTATATACATAAATAATATTTATTTTTTTAGAAAAAAAATTTCATTGTCACTAATCATATACACAAATACATACAATAGAAAAGACATTGGATAAAGAAAGTAAATTGTATGAAGGTATTAAAACATTGAATTATCTGTCTCCACTTTCGAATAAAATTGAATAATTTTAAATGAAACAATTAAAATATAATTTAAATCTATTTCTATGTTTAAATGTATGTAATTAGGTGAATTATAATAAATAAATAGAATAGAATAGAACAAAGAAATTAATATCAGAAAGGGTTTTTGTAGATATTATAGTAATTTTAATAGTTAAATTCATGAATTAATTAAAGATAGACTATTATGGAAAACTTGGAAGTACTAAACGGCTGTTGTATGACTTCTCAGCAATGTGTATTCACGATCTCATCTCACTTTAAGAGGTATATTTTTAGAGTGCTAGTACAAAGCAGTGATCAGTGGAGTTCAACTGGGTCTGTTGTGAGATAGTAATTTATTGAAGACAATGGTGGATTTGTCGCTTAAATTCGTGGATTAGTTGAAGTTAGACATTTATACCATTTGATGCCAGCTCAGTGGTATAGAAGTTAAGCGTTCTCTCGCGAGACTGATAGATCCTGAACTCGAATCAAGCTAGGCGGTATCGTGTTTGCACACTACTGAGAAGTCCCACAATAAGAAGGAAACGGCCGTCCAGTGCTTCCAGATTTTCTATGGTGATCTAGCTTCAATTGATTCATGATCTCAATTATTGAAAAAAAATTTTGAGAAAAGCTTGTTGACATAAATTTTACTTCTTGTTTCGAATGATTATTATTCTTTTCAATGTACAGTAATTCTAATATATTAAAAGTATTGTTGTTAATTTTTGCATTAATTACATATAATATGATAGATAGAATTTTTATTTCTTTGAAATATTTTTTAGTCAATGGTTGTTTCCTGTACAGTGTCATTAGAATGAATGTGGTGATTGCTTTCATCAATCGATCTAAGCTAGACCACCACTGAAAACGTGGAAGCAGTGGACGGTCGTTTCGTTCCACTATGGGACTCCTCAGCAGTGAGCATGTCTGGTGACAGGAGTGGGACTCGAACCCACGCTCACAGAGCGGAC